TATTAATAATTATTATTAACCTTTTTAATACATAATTTCTATATTGTATGGTTCAATCAATAATAACTTATCAAATAGCTAAATTGCTTCATTTTATTTATTACTTTTATTTAAAGAGATACCTATAATAAGATTAATCAAAACCTTTTTATTATTCCTATTTATTGAATTCAATCTATTCATCAGTAATCTAATATTAAATCAGATGTAATTCTAATTTAATAAAAAGATCATCTAAGATTTTCTAAAATTTATTTAACCTTCCTAAAATATTATTTTTCATATGATTCTTAAATTCATCAAATTTAATCAAAGAATCAAGAGCTTATTATGTTTAATAATGATTAAATTAATTTAATTTATCTTCTATTCCACAAAATTTGTATGATAAACCAGAAATGAGTTTATCAAATGATTTAATTGTTGATTATTATTAAAGTTGACATTCTTCAATAAGATTTTTTGGTAGTCTTGATTAATTAATTAAAAATTAAGTTAATTCATGAATACTAAGAACATCTTCATTATAATGCTAGATATGTTTATTCTATTTTTGACAATTCAGACAGAAAATTCTATTCTCATTACAATCTTTTGATCTACACCAGAAAAGAGCAAGATTTTCAGGATGATCTCTACATTTAAAATCCTAACTCTATTAAAAATATGAGTTTTATTTCATTATTTAATTATTACTTCAATTTATAAACTAATATATATTTCAATATTATAAATTATAAAAAATCAATCTAAAGCGTATTTCTTTAGAATTATATAAATTATATGCAATTCATTCTTGAAACAGTTTAAAATTGTTTGATTATTGCTTCTATAGGCCTAAATTATTAAAAGATGGGATATCGTCAAATCTCTTAGAAGATGTAAATATCTATTATTCTTTATGTTTGTAATAGTATTTAAAAAACTTAGAAAAATATTAAATCATGGACTGTTTTTTAATTGATGGTATAATAAAAATTATTGTAATTATATCAATATTAAATGTTATAAATTCTATACTATCCTATATGCCAATCCAATGATTAAATAGATTAATGTGGAAATGCTGAGAAAGCATATAAAAATATTTATCAACTTTTTGATATTCTTTAAGGATTAAAGCCTTAATTAATAAATATTATGGATATACAAATTTTTTATTGATGAAGATATTATCAAAATATCATTACTAATAAATCACAAAATTTCTAAACTCAAATTATTTTACATATTAATACACTTTATTAAATATATTTAGATAAAATATATTTAATGTTTATCTTTTGTAATGCAAAAGTTTTATCATAAGTTATCTAATTATAATTCTCTTTTAGGTTGCCCAAAATTTATTAAAGCATTAGGATTAACATTTTTTGAATATTTTTTGATCAAGTAATTGAAAAAATATAAAAGCATTATCAAATAATTTTTGATTCATTCTGAATAATAATCTCAATACTTCGTTTAAAAAGAATCAGAATATGAAAATAATTTTTTTATTTTACAATATTTCTTTTTTTCAGACTAGCCAATTATAATATAAGAAATTTTTTATAAATTTAATTAATTTAGTAATTAAAAAAGTTAATATTTTGCAAATAAATGTTAAAGATATTATAATTGTTTGCTTAATGAAGAAAATTTGGAGACTAAAATATTAAATTTATCAATTTTTTAATTTTATTTTTAAACAAAATTTAAATAATTACAAAAATTACCTACAGAACACAATCTTTGACTCAGATTTATAGTAAGATTCATCTAATAATAATTTATTATAAGATTCAAATGAATACAGAATCTACTTCGTTATATTATAAAAATTAATATTTTTGTAGCCATAATTAAAATAAATTTGCTTAATTTAAACTATTATAATTCAAAATCAAAATCAAGAATAATTTAACTTTTTTTAAGTCCTTTAATTATCTTTATTAGAGTATTCTTGTCTTTTTTATTATTACTTCGATCTTTATTAATATAACAGTAATGAGTTATCTAGAACTCACATCACATTTACTACGATAAAGTTTTCTTAAAGGAGAAAAAAGTTCTTTCTAGAAAATTGATATTTTATTTTAATTTTCCATTGATACAGCTCGAATCTTGGCAAAAATATCACAAAAACCGAATTATCAGAACCTTGCCTCTCTGTTGTCAAAAAATTCGGTCTATGAGAAAACTAAATATTTCATATAGGAACTAAAGAAATGGCATTCCGTTTTTAAAAATCACCATTAATAAAGAACTTTGAAGTCTTTCGACATATCAATTACTAAATTCTCTACAGTATAATTATTCTATCATGCCTTTTTGAGAATATAACAATGATCACATATGATTATTTTTGTTATTAAAACAATTTCAATTAGAATAAAATATTGAGTCTACAAAGAAAAATTAAGGCTTTCTTAGTGGTTTAATATAAATTATAAACATAACACATTGAATAATAGACTCGATTAATGTTTGAAATATCAAGACTTTAATTTGATTTTCAGGAGTTCAGAATTAATAAATCTTATAATCTCAAGAAGTATAATTTGAGAGGATTTACAAATATAAAGAGTGGTTACTCCTCCCTATTTTAATTCTACACCCAGTTATATTTATAAAAGAGATTGAAATCCCTCATAAATATCAACATTAATATTTTTGCCTTATACTCTTAAGTCCTCCTTACATATATGATTTAAAATTTTAGAGAAAGAAAATTCTAATCTAAATTCATTTATTAATGGATAAATTATGTATTATAGAGATGCAAAAATTAAAAAAAAATTTTAAGTACCATTCAATAATGTTCAAATTGATATTTTTATGAACTCATCGAAAAAATATTAAAGTTTTAATGATATCATTTAAAAGAATGAAAAAATTTATTTCCTAACACAAAATTTCTTTAACAATATAAAAAGAAAAAGGACTATGTTTAAATCAGACAAAAAATTTTAAGTAAATATATTAAGATTAAGCAAAAATTTGAATTTTTGGATCTTTTACTTTAACTTATAGTATTATTTCACTTTTAATCATGAAATATTTATTGATGAATCATTTAATTCAACTTTGCTACATTAGCTAAAATAGAAAATCTTTAGTTTTTATTTCAATAAATAATTAGATTCAGAATAATTGAGCATTATTAAAAGGTTAACGAAATTATTATTAATGTTTTTATTTAATAACCTTAAACTTAAAATTTTTTATTTGTTAAATATGTTGATACTTGAATTTATATTACTTTGATTTCAAATCATTTTTATAATTCTATGTTATTTTTTACAAAATTCTAAAAATTTCTCTTTTTTAATGAAATTTGTCTAGGTAATTTGAATGATAATAAAAGGTTTTAATGAAATTCATTTATATTCTAATGAAGTGATGATAAATTTCGAATCTTCACTTATTGATTACTTATATTAACTTTTTCAATAAGGAAAAAAAGCTTCTTTGGAATTGAACTAATAATGACATGTAAACTAATTTTCAGTTTGATAACTGAAAAAGCTGAATAATGTACAAAACCTAATAATCTCATTCTATTGGGGTTAGGAATTAAAGTTATTTGAATTGGTGATCTCAAATTTTTAGCTTCATACATTTTGATCAATTCCCTCTATATTAGAAACATATTTGAGAAATTATTGGATAATGAAATTCAAGCGCACTTTTTAACTATTTCATTTATTTTGGATCCTTAACTTTCACTTTTTGAATAGAATAACTTTTAGATAATATTTATATTTCATTAAATATTAAATAACCATCCAATTTATAATGGTACTCAACCAAATTTTGAAAACAATATGATATATTGTAAAAATTTACTAATAATCAGTTTTTAAAATTTATCAGTATTTTATTTTTTTTTTTTGTTTAAAAGAAACAAGCTCTTTTTATCCATTAATATTGGTAGAATTCTCACTTCACATACATGATCTAATGGAAGTCTATCTAAATCATAATCAATTATTAATTCTTAATCAGATTAATTTAATTACATATCCAGCTTTACTTATTTTCAGCGGATCCTAATTCAGTTGTGAAGATTATTGAAATAGTGTTATGAGTTTGGATCATCTAAGGTGTCTAGATTTTATTTCTTAAATTTTACAACAGGTTTTATCTATTTAGAAGGTTACCCACAAAAGCATACATCACTGTCTGCTTGATTTCCTCAATCATATAGAAATTATTTTTCACCGTAATGTATTCTAATAAATACAGAATTCTAAAACCATAATAAAAATATTCTTTTTTATTTGTACTTTTTATTTTATTTTGAAATCACTAGATGATCAGATTTTGTTGGATTGAATGAAACTTATATCAAAATAAGTTCCCTTAAATTTTGATATTAGAGAATATTTAACTAATAAACTCCAATTTTTTGGTATTATTAATTATACTCAAATTTCAAATAAACAAACATAATTGATGAAATATGTGCCTAGAATTGGTGTAACTAAATATTAAATAAGAGAGCCTTTTTATTCATTAATTCTTTATTGATAATATAGGACTAATATTCAAAATACTTTCTCTATATAATTCGAGATCAATGCTATAATTAAGTATTCTCTTAATCTTCATGATAGTTGATCCTCACAACTCTGGAATTTTTATCAGATTTCATCTTCAAAATAGTGAAAATGGTTACTTTTATGACAGAAATATTTTAAATGATCATTACTTTGTATCTATTCAATTTTTCTTTGCAAAAGATCTCTAAGTTTACCCACA